GCCCAAGGAAGAACAAACTGTGAAAAAGAAAAGCTTTTAAAAACTGTTGTCAAAACCAGGTGATATCTTCAGGGCAGGCAAATGGACCTCCCCTCTCCAAGTTCCTCAGGCGGGCAGCAGAAGGAGCCATGGCTCAGGGCAGCAGCTGTAGCCAGGGCCAGCCACACAATCTCCAAGAGCCTCCAACTCCAAGGCTCCACTCCAACCACTCAGCTCAACAGCAATGGAGTGAGTCTAAGCTCAGTCAGACCCTTCCTTTGATGCTCTCTGCCCATGCACAGAAGCATTTCAAACAAGAACAAACTTCTGTGGTTGGCTAAGAGTGGTGTTTCCACCTGACCTGGAATACTATTGGCCTAATTACCCCTGCTCCTTCCCCCCTCCCTCCTAGGTGGACTCGAACTTAGTCACACAAACAGTCTCGAAAGCTGTAATTTGCAAACTTGCAATGTAGTGCCATGTAATGCATTGCTATGATCAGCTCTAAGCTTCCAAGGGGCTTTTGCCATTGGTCCACTGCAGATATCTCCACCTTGCCCCTTATTGCCCTAGAAGGGCAGGAAAGACCCAGAAAGGGCAGGATAAAGCAGGAAAGGGAAGGTAAATAATCTCCTTTAAGATTTACTGTTGCTATTTGGGAGAGCCGAATATCTCCTGAATAGTATTCAAAAGCTCTATTCGGCTGCCAAATAAGCAACAGAGAATCGCATTCGGCTGAATGCATGCCCACGTGCTGCCAATAAGGCAAGTATTCGGGCAACTATTTGGCTCGTCTCTACCAAATGCACATGCCTACTGCCTATCTGTATTGTGCTGTCTGAGAATCCATTATGTACCTGCCCAAGTGGCCTCTAGTCCATGAAAATTTATGCTTCAATAAATCTTCACAGAACTTTTTTTGGAGTTATTCCTGCTACTGCTGAAACTCCTATATACATCTCACTCGTTTTAGATGCACATTTGATAAAACTGAGTTTTTAAAAAAAAATTACGCAAATGAGCCAAAATACATGGAGTTTCTACTTTGCAGGCTGTCACGGCTAAAATAAATGATTTAATTTACAATTGCTACATATTTAGACCTGACAAACAGAGGATAAGCTTTACCACCTGATGCAGGTTTCTTTGCTTCAAGCGGATGCTCAGCCCTTCATACCTGTTCAAAACTGAGCCCATATCATTAAAGGAGCAGCTCTTTTCCATTCATGGTACTGACCTGCGCAACTGGGCATTTTCACTTCTGAGAGGCTGAAGAATAAGCGCTATTTCGGCTTGTGCATTTGAACTGTCAACAGCTGCAGGCAAAAGAGATATGCAGTCTTCCACTTCACCCAGCAGCCTCAAGGTTTCTGAATTATCTACAAAAATTGAAAAGATATAGCTGACAAGAGTACAGAGACCATGTTATTGTGGAAGATTAAGAACGGGCCTATTCATGCAACAGAAGGAGGTGGCAGAACATGGTCACCAATCGGCCTGAAGAAAAATGTTCTGTTACTAGGATGTTCTTTACCAGGTATTATTTACCTCCATGCCATGAAAAACTTCATCTCTCCATTTCCACCCATTAAGCCTCTACTGAAGGACAGGACACTTGCCTCCAAGCTGGTTGGTAACCCTAGCAACAGACTATCGATACACTCATTAGCCGCACAGATTTGAGCCCTAGCATGCCAAAATGTAAATCTGGAACCTACACTCGTTTACTTAGAACCAAACTTTGTTGAAATGAATTGGATTTAATTGGATCTAAACCTATAGAAGAAAAAGAGGAAGTCCTCACATGAGATGGGTTGACCCAGTCAAGGAAGCCACGAGGGCTCTCAGTTTGCAGGACCTGAGCAAGGCTATAAACAACAGGATGTTTTGAAGGACATTAATTCTTAGGGTCACCGTGAGAAGCCTTGAAGCTCAACATAAAAAAAACTAAGATCATGGCATCCGGCCCCATCACTCCTTGGCAAATAGAAGGGGAAGTCATGGAAGTAGTGACAGACTTCACGTTCCTGGGATCCCAGATCACCGCAGACTGTGACAGCAGCCATGAAATTAAAAGACACCTGCTCCTTGGGAGGAAAGCGATGGCGAACCTAAGCAGCATGATAAAAAGTAGAGACATCACCCTGCCAACAAAAGTCCGCATGGTCAAAGCAGTGGTATTCCCAGTAGTCATGTATGGCTGCGAGAGTTGGACTATAAGGAAGGCCGAGCGCCGAAGAATAGATTCTTTTGAACTATGGTGCTGGAGAAGCCTCTTGAGAGTCCCTTGGACTGCAAGCAGATCAAATCAGTCAATCCTAAAAGAAATCAACCCTGACTGTTCCCTGGGAGGCCAGATAATGAAACTGAAGCTCAAAGACTTTGGCCACCCAATGAGAAGGGAGCACTCACTGGAGAAGACCCTGATGCTGGGAAAGATTGAAGGTCAAAGAAGACGGGGACGGCAAAGGATGAGATGGTTAGACAGTGCCATAGATGCAATGAACATGAAATTGAGCCAACTTCAGAGGATGGCGGAAGACAGGAAGGCCTGGCGTGATCTGGTCCATGGGGTCGCGAAGATGTGCAACTGAACAACAACAAAGTGGGAAGTGAACTGACGCAACTTCACATGCGTGCACATGCACAAGCCTACTTGCTTTTCACGGAGCCCAGGATGGATAGTACTTATGTGCACATGCACACACACAAGCCTACTTTCTTCTCACGTAGCCCAGGATGGACAGTACTTGCAAACTTCACAAGAGTGATGTATGCTTTGTCCTCCGAAAGGATAACTTGAGGATCTTCTAGATGGTAAAGTATTAAGATAGATCTTGATACAGTTTAGCTTCTTTATTCTTATCCTTTGCTGTATATTAAATGCTGAATGTCTTTGTATATTAAATGCTGAATGTCACAGTTATATTTCCCCAGTTATCTTTGTACCTTGCACAAAGGTGTCAGCACTTTCTAACCTTCAAGAAAACCTACCCTCTGTTTGGCTCTCCCCATCTATCCCGTCCTCGTCATTATCTGTGAATGAAATTCATGCTATGCTGCAATGGATCCCTGAAGCTGTTACCAAATTGACATCTGTAGGAGAAAATAATCCTAGAAATAGGTGTGTGGAAATAGGATACCACTTTTGTGACTTGTTCAGAATTTGTGGGAAATAATTTTTTTTGTCTTACATGTCTCTGTGTTAAGCTTTTTAAAAAAGGGGCACAAGAGTTCTAGAACAATAAAATAGGTTTGGCCACGGGCTCTTCTTCATGTAATAAGATGTGATCAATATGTGCGTTACAAGGAACTATCTTTTCAATGATTCATTCAATTAGCTTGGAGCAAGGTGGAGAATTCAATCGCCATGCAATTCTTTCTCATAATATACTTTGATACTGTTCATTACCTGCTTGTCATCCTCATCAAGATTTGAAGAGGTCTTAGATTCAACCCCCATTACATATTGCAGACTTCTCCGGAACTATGGCTTGATCTGGGACATAATCATGAAATTCCTCAATGTTGTGTGTGTGTGTGTTCAGAAATTTTTGATGAAATTGCATGATAAACAATTTGCTGCTTTCCTATTCTACCTCTTATGCTGACCCTGTCATAGAAGTAGAATGGGAAAGCAGTGAACTGTGAATCATGGAATATCAAGAAATTTCAGAAGAAAGAACAGCAACAGTTAGGGAACACACATAAAAAAGGAAAGTTAATTTCATATTGCCATTTTTTTTGTTTCACTTCATACCTTAAAAATAAAATTTAAAAGCAAACACATTCAGAATACAAATACTGGGCATATTTTATTTCCACAAGGATTTTGTAGAAGGTCCCAGTGTATTATGCCCACTATACTGTTATTCACAGACACGGTGATCTTGAGATTTCAGGCAAACATTGAAATATATAGCTTTGGCAGAAAAGAGACAAGCTATGCCGCCACTATGCTGCGGCGGCCACACTTTTACACACTTTAGTCAGCTCTACAGAATTACAATTCCACGAAAGCATGCAAAACTTTTGCCACTGCCCCACAGAACCCCAAACTTACCGTGGTCTGTGAGCAGGGCCTTCAGCTCTCTCAAAAAATACTTCACTGTTTTCATTTTTTTAGCTGTTTCTTGCAAGCCTCTTTGTTGAGAGGTTAAAGCTGCCTTGTCAAAGCTAGTCTGACAACTCGTCTCTCTCACTGGTGCCATGTCAACTCCATCCATGCCCTCCTCTTTACTCAGAATATCCTTGCTATGTTCCTCAGCAGCTTCTTCTTGGGAATTCAAGGACTGGGCTTGTATTGGGTCAACAGCCTGGCACTTTTCATTAGCCTTCCCACATTTGTTTTCTTCTTCATGTGCCTGCAACAGAGCCAGATGTGCCTGAATACATCTTATTAAGTCTGTCTCTTTTAGCTGTTGGTCCTGGCTTCCTTGATCCGACACAGCCTCTCTATTACCAGGTGCTGCAGGGACTGTGCGTCTCGTGGGATTGTCCAAAGTAGTCTGAAGTACATGGGGCAGAGCAGAACATGTAGGGACAGGCTGCACTTTGGCAACAGAAGTGGAAGCACTGAAAGCTGCTGGTGCAAGAATGGGTCCCATTTGCGATGCACGCTGGCTGCAATTGTCCATGGAAACAACCTATACCAAGCAAATACAAAAAGCTTTTAGTTTTACTCAGTCCTGAACAGATTTAGTTGAGTAGGTTATAGTGAAAACAATCAGTGGGTCAGTTCCAATGCCCTGCCATTGTACTCGCAGACCTTAGTATCCCTTTGCAATCATCTTGTTCATTGAAAAGTTATTACTGAGGGGCAGGTAAGCTTTGTAGTCAAAATATCATAGGGTGCTGGTGGTTTTAGTAACAAGAGAAAATCTGGCAAATCTTTGTTAACTGCTTCCTCCACCAGTAGAAGTGCAGCTGGGAGAAAAGGGAATGGTTTCATTGTAGCAGAGATGGGACTATATAGATTTTTTTGATTATTCATATTTCTCTGGTTTTTATAGGTTTATTATAGATTTAACATTTTATTGGAATGTAATGAAGGCCTGGTATATAGAAGGCCTCTCTTCTTTGGGGGTCAGGGTATTTTTCCAGTTGATGTTCACAGACAAGACAATAACATTCTTTTGGTACAAAAGAAGGTAGAAGGTTCATGGTTCTAATTGTTTAGGTTACAACTTCATAGTGTCTGGGTCAAAAAGGATCTTTTACTTGGTATCAGAGAAAAACACCTTTGTTTGGGTGAGAACAAGCTTTGGCCGATATGACTTAGGTCAGGTCAAGTAAATATGTGACGCTATTGCACAGACACACACCTTTCTCACATTTGACCAATAAGGAGATTTTTATGTAAATGCTGTTAAAGTTTTTGTAACCAATTATGCCTTCTGAATATTATTCTCGTGATGATGATATGATGTCATATTAAGTATTTAACTTCATGTATTTCCTGATTGGGCTCAGAAAGCAGTCAGCTTTGATGGGTCCTTTGGTGTAGTGGTTAAGTGCGCGGACTCTAGTCTGGGAGAACCGGGTTTGATTCCCCACTCCTCCACTTGCACCTGGCTGGATGACCTTGGGCAAGCCGTAGTTCTGATAAGAGCTGTCCTTGAAAACGAGCCATTTTTGTCAGAGCTCTCTCAGCCCCACCTCCCTCACAGGGTGTCTGTGGTGGGGAGGGGAAGGGAAAGGAGTTTGTCAACCACTCTGAGACACCTTTGGGTAGTGAAGGGTGGGGTATAAATCCAATCCTCTTCTCTTCTAAAATACAAGATCTTCCTCCACATTTTGACTTCAATCTTCTATTTTTGACTGGATATTAATTTGTATAACATCATTCTCCATCTCACTTCAGTCCCTGCTCCAAACCCATGGCATTGTGACCATGAGGCTCATCCAACCCAGATCATCGTATTTCAGGCAAAAGAGGTTGCAGGGAAAGGAGAGAACAATCTGCAGCTAGAAGCACCCTCTACAAGTGGATCCGACCCAATGACTTTCACTTCCACACACTTTAAATTAGTACAGCAGTTGGTACAGTCCATTCCTAAATTCTTAATTATTGTCTTAAAGGTAAACGTAAAGGTTCCCTTGCTCGAAAGCCAGTCGAGTCCGACTCTAGGGTTTGTAATTGTGCTCTTCAACAGGAATGAGAGAAGATCTAGGGGCACTGGTGAGAAGCAAAATCCATACTAATGATGACTAACAGCATAGGGCTTTTTTTGTAGCAGGAACTCCTTTGCATATTAGGCCACACACCCCTAATGTAGCCAATCCTCCAACAGCTTACAGTAGCTCCTGTAAGAAGAGCTCTGTAAGCTCTTGGAGGATTGGCTACATTAGGGGTGTGTGGCCTAATATGCAAAGGAGTTCCTGCTACAAAAAAAGCCCTATGCTGTTAGTCATCATTAGTATGGATTTTGCTTCTCACCAGTGCCCCTAGATCTTCTCTCATTCCTGTTGAAGAGCACAATTACAAAACGATTTTGCCAGTCTGGAAAGGAGAGAAAATTCTGGTTTACAAGAAACATCAAGTTCACCTGCACGTGCATATTAGACTTGGCTACTTTCTCAAGATCTTAAAGAAGGGCTAGCATCATTTACTTTTCTGCACCATCACCACTGGTATGGCAACGTTTTTAGAAACTGGATTAGTATAGGAAAGTAGGGCTTATTCAACTTGTTACCATACCATGTAGGAACGGAAATTAAATTCATGCTCCCCCTTTTATAGAACCCCAAGGAAAATAGAAAGCTTGTCTGTGACTACCAATCTATACCTACACCAGTACCCCTTAAATTGTATTGGAACGCAGATATCCAAAGCTGTGTTCAGGAAGAACTCAAGCAAGTCAAATTTTTACTAGCAACAGCACGCGAGAATAAAACATGGTGATTCTAATTTAACTGCTTACTTAAGGCTTATGTTAGGTTACTTACAGGCTGCACGACTGACAGATCAGCTGTATGCTGTGGGGACAGAGCCGGCGTGGAAGTAGGTAAACGGCAATTGAACGCTGCAACTGGCTGACATCCTGCCACCCGTAAAGGGCAAAGAGCAAATGTTAATACTAAGGTCAACTTTACCAAGCAACAAAAGAACTAATAACTATTCAGTTGAAGCAAGACATTCTCACTTACCATTTTCAGGAATAGTGCAAAGTGGTACTTCTGGAATACCAGTGGCTATTTGTGGAGGTTGGATATTTAGCAGAGACATTTGAGTCTGCACATGCTCACACAACTTCTGGTGGGTTACAGGAGAACACTGGGTGAAAGGTGCTGGAACCGGCTGGACAAAGGGTTGTTCAGCGCTTACAAGGTTTCTGTCTTTTTCAACGACAGTTTTAGTAACTGAGGCTGGTTTCCTATTTGATACAGGCACTGTGAAAAACAAAGTGAGGATTGTTTTAGTTTCCTTCAACTCTAACGAAACCAGGTGCAATGCTAACCTTGTGGAATCTTGCTTTTGTAATGCTTTGAAATTTGGAATCTCATGTATGGCCCCGGTCACACGGAGCATTAGGCACGTTAGAGAGACGGAAGATAGGTGGATTTTCCGGGCGTGATCTCACCGCCACATCTGGGAAGCATAGAGCTCCCATGGCGCACCCGAGGCTTCCTGCCGAAGATGCGCTGTAAAAAACTAGTACCTTGGAGGTACTACTTTACGGAAACCGCGGGGCAAGGGCGGGCATCTGATCGCGTTTCCGGTGGTAGTTCCGGCGCCCGCCCATGTCCCCTCGCAAAAAGGGTTTTTTCCCCCCAAGTCTCCACGGATGCGCACAAGCACCCAACGGAGCATGCACACATTTCAGGTTTTTTTTTTTAAAAAAACACAACCCCGTTTGCCGCGCCGCGCCGCTTCTTGGCCGTGTCGTGTGATCGGCACCTCCCCCCTAACTACGGGAGCTCGACGGGATCTCAACCCGACGCCTGATCGCACAGTTGCGCGTTAAGTTTGCTCTGGGGCAAACAGCCACGCCTCCCCCCCGCATTTTCTTGCCCGTGTGGCCGAGGCCACTGATAATCAATTGTACTATGTAAAGTCAGTAAGCTATATCCTTAAGCAGTCTCATAAAGCTTTATTCTGTAATTTTATAGAGAATACTATTGAGCCCTACACAGATATACTACAGTAGTTTGACAGAACTAAAAAAAAAACCTACACAGGATCCAAGATCATAAATAACCTAGTTTAGTCACACAAACTCCCACCTGCTCTTTTCTTATCCTTTCTCTCCCTCCCTGCTTGCCTCCATTAGCCTTCTTATTGTCTCCCAAAATGTACTGCCAGCTTTCTGACAGCCATTTTGTATTGCTTTGAGCATCCAAAATTCAACCCAAAGATTTACCCCTCCCCACATTATCTGCATATGTACAGATAACACTGTTACAGTGTGTGTCTGTTGGGGGAGGGGTAACATTTCAGGACTTAGCCCTGGGTGATTTCATTTGTGGATTTTTTTTATTTGCACAGGGTCATTAAATAGATAATATTCACAGTCAATGGCTGAACACACATAGCCTAGGATGGAAATCCAATCTACTAATATATGTGGCATCTGTTAAGCATTGGCAGTTAAGTAACATTTTTGTCTGTTGAGCACCGACTTTTAACTGTTTTATAGGTAATGATTGTTTATTGTTTTATGTATGGCATTTGCCTCTATGTTCACTGCCCTGAGCCCATGTTGGAAGGGCGGAATACAAATTTAATAAATAAATAAATAAACAAACAAAGCTAGAGCTTTAAAAATTAAAGGCAGAGAATTGTAATAGAATTTTGTTGGGAATCTTACATAGCTCAAAGCTAGATATTTCTTGACAAAGAGTGTTATAGAGTTGTACAAGCAAAAGCCAACCACTTACCAATTTCTTTATGTACATGCGTCGAAAGAGTAGGGGTTTTTGCACCCCTTTTCTTTGAACCATTCACTTTATTGAGTCGGGGTCTGGAAGTCATTTTGACATTGCTTGCTTTTCGTGGCTTCTGATGAACAGTTTCTATTCCTAGAATCATTTGAAACAAATGCCACTTACCAACAAAACATATCAACCCCAAAATGATAACTGAAGTAATCAAAAGGATGCTTACGTTCAGACTCATTTTGTAAGATATCCTTGAGCAATGCTGCACAGCGATCAAGGCCATTATGAATAGTTGCAACCTAGTTAGAAAAAGATACCAATAAATATGTGGACAGTTTTCTTTACCAGATCTTAACTCAGTTGTATCCTGTACATGTCCAGATTATGCACAGTCTCATGGGAATAAAAACAGTGTTCTCTGCTTTACTGTGATGCCAGTGAAGCAATTCTATGTATGCTGAACATGCAGAAGTTATTCCGCAAACAGAATTCAAGCTTTTATAGAACTCATCCATTTTGCTAGAATGAAGCTGCACAGATTTGTTGCACAGATTTCAGAAATGTCAGCAAACATAACGTTTGGTAGTTACACAGTACAGCTGGAGATTGGGTAGGGGATTTGGGCAAGGCATAAACTCTAACCTAAGAACTATTGCAGGTCCTGGCCAAACCATCTCTGGTTTCACCTCTCTTGCAGACTTTCTTTGCATGTTCAGATTTAGCACAGAATCCATTCAGGCTTTCGAAGAGGTAGAGGAACGAGAGATCAAATTGCCAACATTCGCTGGATTTTGGAGAAAGCAAGAGTACCAGAAAAACATCTACTTCTGCTTCATTGACTATGCTAAAGCTTTTGACTGTGTTGATCACAACAAACTATGGCAGGTCCTTAAAGAGATGGGAGTACCAGACCACCTCACATGTCTCTTGAGAAACCTGTATAAGGGCCAAGAAGCGACAGTTACAACCGGATATGGAACAACTGATTGGTTTAGCATAGGAAAAGGAGTACGACAAGGATGTATATTGTCGCCTTGCTTATTTAATATATATGCAGAGTACATCATGCGAAATGCTGGCCTAGATGAATCACAAGAGGGAATTAAGATTGCTGGGGAAAAGATCAACAACCTCAGATATGCAGACGATACCACTCTGATGGCAGAAAGTGAAGAGGACCTAAAGAGCCTCTTGCTCAGAGTAAAAGAGGAGAGCGCAAAAGTGGGCTTGAAGCTCAACATCAAAAAAACTAAGATCATGGCATCCAGCCCCATCACTCCTTGGCAAATAGAAGGGGAAGTCGTGGAAGTAGTGACCGACTTCACGTTCCTGGGATCCCGGATCACCGCAGACTGTGACAGCAGCCATGAAATTAAAAGACGCCTGCTCCTTGGGAGGAAAGCGATGGCGAACTTAAACAGCATGATAAAAAGTCGAGACATCACCCTGCCAACAAAAGTCCGCATGGTCAAAGCAATGGTATTCCCAGTAGTCATGTATGGCTGCGAGAGTTGGACTATAGGGAAGGCCGAGCGCCGAAGAATAGATTCTTTTGAACTATGGTGCTGGAGAAGACTCTTGAGAGTCCCTTGGACTGCAAGAAGGTCAAATCAGTCAATCCTAAAAGAAATCAACCCTGACTGCTCCCTGGAAGGCCAGATAATGAAACTGAAGCTCAAAGACTTTGGCCACCCAATGAGAAGGGAGCACTCACTGGCGAAGACCCTTATGCTGGGAAAGATTGAAGGTCCAAGAAGACGGGGACGACAAAGGATGAGATGGTTAGACAGTGTCATCGATGCAACGAACATGAAGTTGAGCCAACTTCAGAGGACGGCGGAAGACCGGAAGGCCTGGTGGGAGCTGATCCATGGGGTCGCGAAGAGTCAGACTCGACTGTGCGACTGAACAACAACAACCATTCAGGCTAGACAAAAAACCAAAGCAGAGATCTTAAGCATCTCAAATACTAGGGGCTGTATACAGTGTACGCCTAGAAGAATAGCAGATAACATGACATGGTTTGCATGCTAGTAATTAGAGTTTCTGAAATTGCTTTCAGTCATCATCAAGACATGGTCAACAGAAGAAAAAGACAAAAAAACAAACCACAGAAACCATGCGATTGTTACTTGTGATGGTGTTTTTTGGGGCAGCATATTACTAGTGACTTTGTGATGGTTAACAATCTTTGCCCAGAGACTGACAGGACAAATTTATTTTATTTATTTATTATTACACTTATATCCCGCCCTCCCCACGAACGGGCTCAGGGTGGCTTGCAAACCATGTGCCAAATATAAAACATTAAAAACAGCATAAAAAACAACCACCTTAACAATAATGAAGTGCTCAGTGATGTTACTAATTTAATCAAATCAAGATGATGATCTACAGATGTTACCCAAAAGCCCGCTTCAACGGCACCGATCCATCGCAATGTTGTAGCTAGATCTTTGTACTGGGCTATCCCATCACCCCGCTGTTACCACAAGATAGTTGTTGTTGGTGGTAGTGGTAGTTCCTAATTAAAAGCCTGGCGGAAGAGCTCCGTCTTGCAGGCCCTGTGAAACTGTAAAAGGTCCCACAGGGCCCTGATCTCCTCCGGGAGCTTA